TTGCCATGTGAAATTAGATTCTTTAGAATGGTGTAAGAAATCTTTACATTACAATTTAAAATTTTTTCGATTAATATTAAATAAAATAAGAAAAAATCAAGGATGGAGAATCTGGAAAATTAAGGATAGGAAAACTGGATCATATCCTTGATTTTCCAGCCCATCTACAAAACGGTCTGACTACAATATGAGACCACTTTATTTGGTAGTTTTTGGTTAGCCGGTTGCTAGGAAATTCAACTATTTTTAAATGTTTTGTATTTCTTTTGTAAGCGTCAATTTTTTTGGTGCTTAAAAATGAATAAATATATAACAGATAATTGAGTACTTGCACTTCAAGAAGATGAAGATGACAGATACCCATACATGTAACCTACGACGTTAGTGCCAACTGATTGTTTATAAGAGAAATTGACGTGTTAAAGTTGAGCTAACTTTCTCCACGTAAGGTTTAATGTTAATTAACTCAAAGCTAGTTAAATACAGCACTGTATCGCACATCAAATATGTTGAAATATAATTCTTTCTCGCCTGCATTCTTTACTTAACTTAAATTTATTATTTGATGTATTTAATTGTAACTGTGATATATTTTTGTTTTTAGTACCTGACAACTTCGATGCATAATTAGTTTATTTAGGTTCTTCATGCCTGTCTTAGTATTAAGAAATATCTAGTGAAAGAATTAAATGCCTTGTGAAAGAATCTTTGTATAAGAATATAGAATGTGTCACTTAAGAGAATTGATGCTTGACGGGCTTAACTTACTCAAAATAGTATGGAAAGAACAGTTTGTAACGTAAACAATTTCCACGTTTCAACAACCAATCAGGATCGAGGTACCCACACGACGTCACTTACAGATATCCCATTCAACTTTATCATCACAATTTAAACCGGAAGGGCAGTTAGAGATACAATAAACACTTAAAAAAATTATTTAAAAGATTTATCTAGCAAAATTTTTGATTTTTCGCTTGGGGAACATTAAGATGGTACCTCAAACTTCGCTTTTAAACTGTAAATTTTTCTAAAAATTAACAGTCTAGAATAAGCGTATAATTTAGCCTAAAAGTGGTTTAATACACATTGATACGATGATCACTAAAACAATTTTAAATCTGCATCATTAAACGTACTCTTGTAAAACTCTAAAATGCTACGTCATACACTTTGGTTCTGATGTGCGATTTTTTTTCCAAAGAACAGCAGTTTAAAATAAGTTTTTGAAAAATGCTTAATATGTTATGTTTTTCTTCTTTTTATTAAAAAAAAGTACCATAATGTGTTATGATGCAATGGAAACTGTTAAGATCATTCTCATTGTGGAACTTTATAGTTTTTTAGTAAAGTATTTTTTACCTGTTTAAAACTGTAAAATGAGGATTTGTATTTTACTTCTATATTTCTAAGTACCAATTTTTTTCTAAAAAGGCTAATTTAAATGATTAAATAATGCTTTTTTTCCATGGAAAATTATCCGTATATGAGAAAATTTCATTTAAAAAGTTTATTAAAAGCGTTTGCTCCACAGAACATTTTAATTTTTGAGGTTAAGTACTTTATGCTCGCGTCAGACTTTAAAATGATACATTATACTTTATTTCAAAGAGTTGCATCTTTTTAAATAATGCAATCAAAAATAAGTACATAGTTTTGTAATTTTGTATTGTTGTATATGCACCTAGATTATGGTGAAAATGTTGACTTAAAAATTAATAAAAAAAAGCTTAAAAAATTACTAAAAATGGTTGATCCACAGAGCTTTTAATTTTTTTAAACTTTTGTTCGTTTTTTAAAAAAAATAAATGCCAATACCATTATTTTTAAACTGTTAGTGCCAATTAAACACTTTGAAAATAATCAACGCATGTACAAAAAAATTAGAATATTAAAACTGTAAATTACAAAGTATTCTGAGCATTTGATAAGAAAATGACCTTACTGAAGACTCGTTATATAAAGCAATCGACTTGAACTATTTTCGATGAAACGATTAACATCAATGAAGAAAAAAAACTCTCACAGAACTGTGATATTCATCCTAAGATTTAAAATCGAAAGTTAGCTCTTATCTAGTTATTAATCACTTCCTTATAAAAGAGCAATCGAATCATCTCAAGAAAGAGTAATTTTTATAAAATAAAATTTTTGTGTCATCATTGCTAAATTTAGCATTCTGCATTGTTTAGGCGCAATTTTCTGGCGAGTTGGAATCGTTGAAGATGCGCCAACACCGGAAAGTTCACTGTCTTCGATAAGTTAATGTAGGTTAGCTGGAAAAGAACAAAAAATATCAATTTAAAGAACTAGTTTGAGATCTTAGTAATGGTTTGATTAAATCCGTTTTATATAAAGGGTGGCGATTAATTACGAAGCAGGAAACTCTCGGTAAAGAAAGGCAAAACGTTGAATGCAGTCATTATTTCAATTAATTATTTTGGTTTCGAGGGTAAAAGCAAACAATTGATTTCAATTATCGTTTGGAGATGACTTCATCTCATCGTATGTGATACGGTACTTCCAAATGTGTGTGCCATTTTTAAATAAGAATTCCTGATGGTTGTTTATTCGCTAGAGAAAGAAAATATTTGTACTGGTTCATAATTTATGATAACATATTTGTTTTAACTGAAGTGAGATTGTCTCGGTTTATGCAATAAATATTTTTTTCTTGAATTATAAATGCAGAAGTTTGTAAAAATAATTTTAAACTTAAATTTGTATGTTTCTAAGAGACAAAATCTACCTATGCAATCTTTTCATTAAAATTGCAGAAATGCAGAAATTTGTAAAAAAAAATTTTAAACTTAAATTTGTATGTTTCTAAGAGATAAAATCTACCTATGCAATCTTTTCATTAAAATTGCAGAAATTTGTAAAAAATTATTTTAAACTTAAATTTCTATGTTTCTAAGAGATAAAATCTACCTATGCAATCTTTTCATTAAAATTTCATAGTTTATATTGATACATTTTGTTACTAATTACTTTTTACGTTGTTGCGTTGTTTGTCATTGGCTTTTTTTAGACGTTAAAAAAAAGAGATTTTAGAAGAATTTTTGCTCGTGAATAAATTTATTTACAAGATGCACACATAACTGGTTGAAAACTGGTCAATCTATATAAATATCAATCTATATATATTCAATATATATATATATATATATATTTANAGACAACAGTGGTATATATATATATCAAAACAATGTAGTAGCAATGCAGTAACTTAAACTAATTGATAATTGTTTTGTTGCTTGCTTAATATTTGGCATATTTTAATATCAAGTTATCATGCAATTTTAATTTAAACTTTTTAAATTTTAATTTCCAATTAGAAAAGCTTTTTATTATTAATCTAAATATAAAGTTTATATTATTAATCTAAACATTCATTGTTCTATACTGTATAAAGCAAACCTGCAACAACACATTTGCACTAAGCAAATAAAAATGTTCTACATATCAACTGCTTAAGGAAAGTTATTTTCAGTAAAATATATAGTATTTTAATGTTAATCGCCTTTTTCAGCTATTTATTTTTATGAAAAAAAGGTTACTTTTCAAACTAAGATAAATATTTTTGTCTTTATTGCATAAAAAAATTTACTAAGGTTGTTCAGAAAAAAGATTTGTTACACCACACTCAGCAGATTTGTATAAAAACAAATTTTTCATGTTATCTCAGTTTCTTAGTCATATAAACAATGAATAAATTGAACGAACAAAATTATTACAAATGCCTCGTAGTCATCACGTTTTGTATTTTCAGAATAATATTATATGACTGCTTCCGGGTAATTTATGGGCTAAATGATATTCTAATTAATAACTGAGGATAAAAGTTTCGAACTACCCATTTACGAAACATCATTAGAAATAACTGAATCATGCAGGTCTTATAGAAAAGTAATTTCGTGACTTTGTTTCGTAAATGGACTATTTTTAAGTTATCAGATAAAAGTTTTTTTTATTTAAGCAAACGAAATAGAAAGTACATTTTTATTTTTTTTCCCTGTTGATACTTGTAAATCAATTAAGAATTTTTTCTGAGTTAATGCAGTTTATTTTTACTTTTATTTTTAATTCTTGTTTTAACTAATAATATTTACCTTTGCACTCGAGTAAAGCTACAATTTTTCCAATTTCAAATATTGAAGATTGTATGTAAATTTTAATACGTGAAAAAATGCCAACTGCTCCGGGTTCTACAAAATATTTTAAAAATTGGAAGGGAACTACAGAAAAAAATTTGCAGATTTTGAATAATCTTGCGAATTCTTTAAAAGGCTCAACATGGCTTAACCGTAACAAAGTATTGATATACATAAGCCTTAGAATTATTTAAAAATGGTGGTGAATTAGAATTATTTAAACACGGATTAAAATACTAACACTAGAAAATATATATCAGTAGTCCGGAGCCAGTTGGCTTCTCTGTATGTATTGTAAATCATATAATTCATGAAAATTATAATACATTGTAAATTATACATGCATTATATGTACAATAAGACCTAGTGAACTGAGCACCGTTCAACCCGTAGAGCACGCGTGGACCATATTTTATTAAAAGAAGAAATATGACAAAAATATATATTTTTTCGCAAAATAGCTACATTTTTATTTTATTGTTTTAGACTTTATTATTATATACTATAACTATATATGATTATGAAAATATTATTGTGTTATTAATTTTTCATGTTTTCATAAATTCACGTAAAATTTGTTTATGTTGTAAATAATATCGATAAACGCATTAACTACATAAAAGTCAATTAAAACGCGGGCTATTAAAGTAAGAAGAGTGATATGATCAGCATTAAAAATTACTTTACTGCCATGAGAATTATTTGAAATTATCTTTAATTGAATAACAAAATACTTAACTGATATTATATAGTAAAACAAATTTCTATTTTTATAATTTAGAGAATAGTTTTCTTTTAGTAAATGTAATTTTTTTTCTAATTGCAACGTATACTTTTTATTTTCAGGTACCACAATTGTTTTGTTTTTTGACTGCGTTAACGTTGACTTATCACATTTCGTCAATTTTTGGTGATGCTCTGTTAAAACAGAAAACCTACAGAAGATTTGAGCTAAGGAATGGCAGGATTCAATTAGAGTCATCTCCGGGTTTCAACCGTAGCCATCCTGAAGGAAATGAACGGGATTTAGTACAGAATAACAGTTCCAAGTTAACAACTTCTGACTTACGTTTGCCATATTTCAGTCAACACTATTCTGAAAAACGGAATCTTTCCTCAGAAATGTTTATTCCATCTAATTGGGCATTTCTTCAAAATAATAATAAGGCTGTTGAAACATTAAAACCTGGAGCACGTACCAAACATTATTCTAATGCTGCCTGGAGAAATTCATCTGATGAGTTGTCTCATTCTGGAAAAAATGAAGATTCCAATATGTCTATACCTGCCAATATGAATCTTAATGTTTGGTATCCTAAAAATACACCTGAGCCTTCTATTTATTCTGAAACTTTAACGGAATCCCAATCAGAAAAAGTTCCTTTGATTCTTATAACATTGCCTAGATCTCATAAAACAAATCATATAAAACGTGATTCTCTCATAAGTCATGTCAAAACAGATAGTTTAAATTCTAGTTCTTTTGCTGGAGGACCACGGCAGCTAACTATTACAGATACAGATCACCCAGTCTTACCTAGTCCACAAGATTCAACACTAATAGCTGACTTTTTACCTAAAACAACAAATTATAATTGGAGGCCAATTAGTAGAAATGGAGTTCCTTTGCATGTTGAAAATTCCGGAGACAGAAAGAGTAAATCGATAAATAAAAGCAGTTTCATTAACAATTATTTTGTTCCAAATCTATTTCCAGACCAACATTTTAAAGACACAGATATAAAGAATAAATATCCAAGTTTCCCCAGAGAGCAAGACAAATATTCAAATCACGATGATAATTTGCAACGACATTTTCAACAGACCAATGGTGAAATGAATGATCAATCTGGAAACAGTAACTATACCCCTGAAGAAGAAAAACAACATGGAGTCAATGCAAGGCAATACAGCCACAATGCTGTCAGGCATGCATATACTGGTACTGTAGATTCTTCACTCCAAAGGAACCATTTATCTGATAAAGAAAACTTAAGTCGAGTGTACATACCTGTAACCGCTATCTTCATTCCAACAAATAACTTGTTTAGTAATAATTCAGGCACATTTCAGAATCATAAAACTGAAAATGAGAGAAATAAAAATGCTTCTAATACTTTAAATAATGTATACATACCTTACAGCGCGGCTTCAATAAACGTGCAAAATATAAAAACAAACGAGGGCATTCGAGATAAAAACACTCTACCAAGGCCAACTAACAACGATATTTCTTTATTTCAATTAACCCATATGAATACTAGGGAAAAGCCCAAAATTAACACATTAAATTATATTTTGCCTAAGACACACAATCGAGAAGTTTCGATTTTTAAAAGTTCCAGTGAAAGCTTATTTCATCGAAAACCTATAATGAATTCTAACTCTTATGAAACACCAGCAAGATACCTGGACATTGAAAAACAACCTGATGATTCTTACAGAAACCACGTCCAACATCATTCGATTTTAAATTTAAAAAGCTTTAAGCCCAATGATTTTTCTAGAAACCCTGGATATGTTTACTTCCCTGACGAAATAACTGGTTCTTATAATTTTATAAAGAATAATACCATAAAATCTTTTGAAAATGATTTCATTGATAAAGCACATAGCTTGGAAAAAGAATCAATTATTCCTGAACAAAATTTGTATCAAACCACTAAACCTCATTCGAGTTTCTTTTACAATACAACGTCACAACAACAGTCCCAAAGAGGTTACATCGATGAGCCTAAAGCGGAGGGAGTTTTACCAATTAATTTATATTCTGATCAAGCTGTAAATAAAGGATCCTCAGTTGGTGAAAAAAGTAACGATGCTTATTACATTTCTTGGATGCAAAATGTTCCATTTAATGATCCGGATTTAAATAAGAAGACAACAGTGGATTATAATAATGAGAACGCAAACAAACCAGAAATAAGCTTTGTCAACCATGTTTTACCACAAAATGAATCCGTTGTTGAAAATACTCAGTGGGATCAAAACACGGCCCATCATGCAGAATCTGAGAATGAATTCTCAAACGGAAAAGGTCAATTCGGTTTCTCTTCAACAGAAGAACCACAGACAGAAGTGTATAATTCATTCGATTCAATGTACAGTAAACTTGCAGAACATATTCAGAAACCTCAGTTTTCATTCATAAAACCTATATATAACATCACTCCTCAAAATAAAAATTTTCCAATGTCTGGTGATAATCAAAATTATAGGTACTATGATGCAAAAGTTGAAGATGATAATCGAACTAACGAATCAGAGCAATTAGATGCTTTAAAAGGAGATGCCAACGATGAAAGACCAGTGGATAAAAAATCAAATCCCTCAGATGCATTGCTCTTAGTGCTTTTAGTTCGTAAAGCAACTTACCCAACGAGGGAAGAAACTAAGATCATCAAGCAATATAGTCCGCCGACGCAATAGTCTCAAAAATAAGAAACGAAGTTTTAGTTTTTAATTTCAAATACCTACTTTCAAGTATATTGAAATAATTATCCCAAGAAAAAAGATAAAAGTTGATTTCAAAATAATATAGATTACACTTTACTACAGATTACACTCTTATTTAAATTAGTGTATACCGCAAAAACGCATCATCTGTTTACGTCATGCATGATATTCTGTCATTCGCTATGAAAAGTATATAAACGTAAATGAAGAATGAAATTTGTAGTCTCCACTTTAACAAAAAGTGATGTAAGTCTATAAGCTACTAATATTGATCTAGATAACTCTGACACTATTGAGAAATACAAAAAATCGAATAGTAATAAGACATTACGAATGAAAGTAGTACTTTGGAAATTTGATATAGATAAATTAATACAAAAACTAATTACAATTGACTAAGGAAGCATTTTGAGAACATTGTGGAAGTTTTCTGTCCTATTAGTTGAAGTATTTATGGTATCTTTCTTGGCAGATGCTACATTATTTTTACTATCACTTTTCAAGTTCCATAGATCAAGTTGCAAGTTTTAGAAACTCAATACTTACAATCGGTATGAGAGTTGCATAAATTAGCAAATCATATATTTCATTAATTGAAATACATTTCACCAGCCAGATGGCACGAAAAGCTCTTACCAGTTCTCTGGAATAAAGGCGAGGATTTGTTTTTCTATGATACATCAACATTGCGGTATAAATATAGCTAGTTGTAAACTAACATTTTGATTGGTAGTGTCAAGATACATTAGCATCTTGAGAGATATATATGGAGCAGATGTTAATAGAAATTTGCATAGCTTCTGGATTTATGGAGTTTTCTGAAGTAAGCCTCCACCCTTTCTTTGCAGCATAATTTGCTGAATCCATCGTGATTCACTTCGAATGGTTTTGTGCCGTCTGCAAGGAACTTTACTGTGTTATGTCTTTTACTACTACAAGAACTCAACTGTCTTACGCTAATCCACTACGAGAACTCTACTACTACTTGTAAAATCTACAACTACTTGTAAAAACTACTACCACTACAACTACTACTTGTAAGATTTTTGGTGTTGTGAGGTAGGCGTTAACTAAACTAAAGACAATCTTGCATGACTCTCTAAACTTTTACTTAACTGTAAGTTTACAATTATGATGCTGAAATTATGATGGAAAAAGAAACCGGGTTTTGGTAATGAACAATGAATCCGGCAACGGTCGTTTACGAAATTAATTATTAATAACTGGATTTAGATGAAATTGTGTGTGATAACACATGACGAAAAAATATTCAACATGTGAACTAAAATAAAACTGATATTGTGCATTTCCTGGTCGTAAAAGTCAAATGCAATTGAGTACCGTTAAAAAATAGAGTTAGTGTTTTTAAGTTCATAATTTTTGAATCCTGGAATTTCGATTTCTCTTATCGCCTGCATTATTTCTAGCTTACTTGACTTTCACCCGCTGTGATATTCATGATTTTAGTCAGTTCTTATCCTAATTACCAAATTAGATAGTTACGTAACAGTCGTGTGGTAGTTACAGGGTAATAGCTACTTAACAGTCGTGTAATAGTTACGTAACGTGTCCTCTCAGACAAATTATTTATCGTATATTTTCCCGACGTGTGTTTATTTTCACTTGCTTTTCTTTATTGTTATCATTTTTATTTTAAAAGTAAAATTGTATAAGCCATCATAAAACACTAATCCGATATTTTTTGTTTTTGCATATATCAATGTATTTTACTTATTCTATGTATTGAGAAGATTACGAGCACAGAGTATTTTTATGCTATTTTCGTTGCTATAGGATTAAGATAGGTTTTTCCTTCAAAATGAAATTTCGACGTTAAAATCGTTACTCCACTACTTTCACGAAATTTTTTTTTTAAGTCTTATTCACAATTTCCTTTATAGGTATTATTAGAATTGTACATTCTGTATCATGTATTCCATTTTCTTTTAAATATGTGATTATACTGTCATAATTGTTAACTTTTAGCGGTGCACACGAAAGTAAAACATTTAGATTTGCTTAAAAAAATTTTAAAAAAAAGAAGCAAAAAACAGTTTTATATTTGATAGGTTGGAATGTATGTTTTGTTCGTATTTTTAATGAATAATTTTTCTTTCAAATATAGGAACAGCTAATATTGTAATTTTTGTGATATATATAATATTATGTTACGTTAATTATGCTAAATAAAAGTATGACACTGAAATATCAGACTGTTGAAAACTTCATATTTATACTGAAAAAAACTTAACTTTTGTTTAAATATATTTTTATGTTACTTTAATTTGAATAAAGTGTATATAAAATCCAATTTGCAAAAATTTTATATTTATTATTTTGTATTTATTATTTAAGCTATCAATTTATATTTATTATTATCTTCATAGCAAATGAAATTTAAATGGTATTTGAGACATTTTTTAAATCAAAGCAGATGCTATTGTTTTAAGTTAAAGGAAAAAATTTATTTTGCTAGCAAAATCAGTATCTCTACTTCTTTCTTCAATTTAATTGCAAGTTAGCACAAATTAATTGGCACAAACATACTTTATTTCAAAATAGAGTACAAATCAGTATGGGCAAATTTGAGTTTGAAATTTAAAGCTATTTAAGATTTTCAGATTCGTAACCTTGCTTGATTTCACCACATTTGTGTATTTTAATAATTTTATGAATGTAATTTATAATAAACTGGTTAAGTTCAATTGTATAAAAATAAGTAATTTTTAATTATATCGACTTTTTTTTACCTAAAATAATAATATTTCAAAGACTTATTCAGCATTTCTTTAAAAGCAACCAATCGGATTTCAATTAAGCTCAGAATATCAAATAATCATATAAACATTAATTTTTATGCTAGCCGTAATATACCTAGCAGAATTGCCATGAGGAGTAATATTCCAAATAAAATCACTAGCTATAGCATTACTATAACCATACTAGCCGAATGGTAAATTTTCTAAATGTTTTTAATGGTGGGTGGAAGTTTTGGGCAACAGCGATAGAGAGATTTTGCATTTTCATCCGGATTTCGGCACGGTTGCGTACGTTTGTTTTAAGCAAACTCAATAGGTAACCAAGATTGATAGGAGTTCTGCGCAGAAAATACGCCTGTAAGGATGCGGGATGCTACTTGAAATAGCTAATCATCTCTAATGTGCGACAGAATGCAAATTTTTAAACCTCGTTCCAACATTACAAATAAAATATATGTTTGGCTTTTATTTAGTTTGCGTAAAAATAGTTAATTATAGAATTTTTTTATAATTAAACTACTTATTTCTTGAGCAAAAAAAAGTTAAATTTATTATTTTTATTTATTTATTTTTGTAGCAGATAAAAATCTGAGGTAAACATTTAATGTAATTTTCCAACCATTTTAAATAGGTAAGCATATAATTCGTCAACAATTTTAAAATTTAGACAATGAGAAAAACTGTAAAGTTAGTTAGGGAGTTGATTTTCTAAATGTTTCTAATGGTGGCTGGAGATTTTGGATGACAGCCATTGAGAGATTTTGCATTTTCACGCTGCATCCGGCATGGTTGCGTACGTTTGTTCTAGTCAAGCTCAATAGAGAACCAATATTGATAACAGTGCTGCGTAGAAAATACACACGTAAAGATGTGGGATGATACGCGAAATAGCTAATCATATGTCATAATATCGCGAAATAGCTCTAATGTGTGACAGAATTCAGATTTTAAACCTATTTTTAACATTACTAAATAAATTATCTATTGGGCTTTTATTCAGTTTACATAAGATTATAGAATAATTTTTTGTAATTAATCTATTTATTTTTTGCTCAAAAAAAATTAAAGAAATTTTTCAATTCATTTTTTATTTATTTTTGCATCAGATAAAAATCAGAGGTAAACATCTAAAGTCACTTTTCAACCATTTTAAATAAGTAAGCATATAATTCGTGAACAATTTTAAATTTTAAATAAATAGAAAAACTATAAATTTAGTAAAAAAAAGCTTAAAAACACGCAATTTTAAATTTAACCAAATAATAACACCAAAATATAAGGATTAAGGCAATTTTTTTTTAAAATTAAAAGTAGAGCATTTATTATAAGTACTATAATTATTTATATTCTGATAAATAATTATATTTTAAGGTAAGCAGCCAATATAATTATTATTATTAAAAATTATATTTGTATGAAAATAATATTTGTATGAAAATAATATTTCAAACAATAATAAATGCGTGTTATTTTTTTCATCCCATTTTGGCATATCTAATTTTCTAGCTAACAAAAATAAACCATATAGCATCTGTGTTACTCTGAAACATTTACTCACGCAAGATAAAGAACTTAAAAAATTTTTTTTTCTTTCTTGCCTACTTATAAATATCTTTTAACAATAACATCTTTTTTCTTCACCGCACTTTCCACTTTTTGTTGAAGCAATTCGGAGAAAAAAAGATACCAATCCTATTTAAAAGTCTTTAAAATCGTGCTGTATCTTTTACCCTAATCGGATTGTAAATGCATTTATGTAGACATAAAATAAGGATATCTTTCTTTAGTATTAGTTGGATATATCTTTTGATATAATGATTTGAATAATCCTATTCTACTTTTCTTACCAGATCTATTTTGCTATAGAATTTTTAATCATCTTTATAACGAAAATAATTTTTTATAAAAAAAAGAAATAATCTAAATACAATTCCACATTTATTTTTTCAGATGATAAAGCGTAGCAGGTTTGTTAATCTACAAAAAAAAGGGGAGTTGAGGAATTCATTTTTTAACGAGAATATTGTTAGCGAAACGAGCATATGTAACCTAAATTTTCTTTTCATGAACTAAGTATTTTGAATAGCGTATTTCTTTTTTTCATTTTTTTTTTTAAAAAAGGGATTGGAATGAAAGACTTTATGTTTTGTTCCCAATTATTTTAATTATGGGTTAGGTTGTGATATTTGCATACGTTTGCTAATAATAAAACCTGTTAGAATAAAAAAGGCACTTTGCGCTAAATATAACTTTATTTAAGTCGTGTAAATTAGCTAAGAAGTTTTTCCGATTTTAGGCGGAAAGTAAAATTTATTAAAGATTCACTTTAATGAACATAGATAGGCAACCTTAAATTTATATTTTCTATAGAAATACGTCAAAATTATTTTTCAAATTTTGCATAATGCTATAGTTGGACAATTTTTATTAAAAAAAAAACTTCGCACGCTGGTTTTCTGTTGGTAATGCAGCTTGAAAAATATAAAATAAGTTGAACTTGCTTATAACGAGTACTTAAAAACCAAAAAAAAAATCGTTCATTAAATCAGATTGTTCTCTAAGCTTTTGTAGATATTTTTCTGAAATATTTCTCAGTATTTTATTTTTGCTGGTCCAATACTGTTCGAAAAATTATAAATACAGTCCAACTCGTTTTTCAGTATTATGTAGGAACAGAAAACAATTGATCGTAAATCAGGGGACTCGTTAAACCTGAGTTAATATTTTACCGAAGTATTTCTGATAATTATTTTTACTGGAATAATAATGTTTGAAAAAATAACAATGAAATAATAACAAATACTATCAAACCCTTTTAGAGGGAGAATATATGAATCGAGATAATCCGTTTGTTAAATCAAGGTGATCGTTAAACCAGAGTAAATAACTTACCTAAATAATTCGTTCAATTCATTTTTACCCCGAGTAAATAATTTACCTGAATAATCCGTTCAATTCATTTTTACTTGCAGAATATTGCCAGAAAAGTAAAAATACCGACTAACTCTATAATTACGAACGTAGATTACGTAAGATTATGAACGTAGGAACTGAGATAATTCACTTGTTAATTCAGTTGTTGTTGTTAATTTGCGTCGCACTAGAGCTGCACAATGGGCTATTGGCGATGGTCTGGGAAACATCCCTGAGGATAATCCGAAGACATGCCATCACAATTTTGATCCTCTGCGGAGGGGATGGCATCCCCGTTTCGGTAGTCCGACGACCTGCGCGCGAAGTCGAGCACTTTACGGTAGAACAGTTTAACGAGGACCAATACCGCACACCCTCGGTCCCTACGCAGACTGATCCAAGTGGTCACCCACCCGCACACTGACCGTAGCCAGTGATGCTTGACTTCGGTGATCTGCTGGGAACCGTGTC